GGCAACAGTGCAGTCCAAAATTTTCAGTGCTATCAACATATACCTATAACTAGTTATAGGTATATGGCTATCAATAATGTATATCGACATGATTATGATTATTAAATTATGTAAGGGGCGCATTTCAACAAAACTGCCCTGCTGGATAACCTCACTTTATACGAAATAATTTAGATATGGATTTCAGACTCTCAATTTAATTGTGGTTCATTATTTGGTTAGTTGTCTATGCAATAGGATTTCTCGCAGAAGAAGATATTTATATAAATACCAGAATTGTCCTTTTCGTTACGTGTCCGAGCCGACTACCTGTACAGTATAAATAATCCACAAACTTAATGAATGTAATTAATGGTGGATTGAAAATATTGTATTGTTTTTTATCTTTTATTCAATAAAAACCAATATTTTAGTAAAACAGATTTTCTTTATTTTTATTTCAAAAAATTAATTAATAAATTAGATAAGAAATTAAAGAAAGCAAAACAGGTAATTAAATAAAATGGCAGCACTGAATTTGAATGCTCCGTTGCTCATGTATTTACCTTCGACGTTAAGTGACTTCGCTTGGTGGCAGTAGTACGTAACACAACCGTACTATGCACTAGCGCCAAATTAAAATTCTGTTTACGAGTGATAACCAACATTTTAATTCATCGAATTTTTCAGTCAGAAAATTCGAGGTACATAATATTTATTCCAAAAAATAAAAGTAAGGAATTATTATTCTGTCACATACAAGTAGCATTGAATTTATTAGCTAAAAAAATAATCTGATTAAAAGAAATATGGCAGAAAGGTGCTTAAATGAAAATTCGTATTGCTAGATTTAAATAACATAATAATTAATAACAACTATACCACAACTTTATTCCCGAATAAAAATTGTTTCAAAGTGTTTTAAACAACAAAATAATTCGTATTAAAAGTAAATATTAAAATTTTTAAAAATAATAATGAAAATAAAATTGTGTTCAATTCTTATTAGTCAAATAAAATTTTGAGTTATATTAAAAACATTTAAATATTAAAACAAATATTTCATGCAAAATATTTGTGTGTCGAATAAGAAACTTGATCACTTTAATTTATAAAAGGTAAATTAATTTTTATGTCGACGAGTAATAATAGAAATTAATTGCGACATAATGATAATTTCAGTATTACTTTTTCTTAAATAAATGTCGCGCACCTTGAATTAACTGGCTAAGAAATTCGATGAATTAAAATTTTGATTTACATAATTTCAATTTGACTGCGTGTTTCTCAAGTAGCGCCTTATTTAAATGATCTCAATCCAAATTTTAATTCATCGAATTTTTTAGTCAGAAAATACGCCATTCAGTTCCAGAATTAAAATTACTTTAATTCTTATTCTGTGCTTAAAATTGTGTACTTAATATACCAAGACATCATACAAGTTTTACTTTAAAATGTTAAGTCAATTTTTAAAAACGCAACTTGAATTAATATTTAGCTTTAATAAACATGACATTAAATTTATTGTTGACAATTCTTAAACTCACGCAATTCATTCGAAGTCCACCAGGTGAAGCGCGCGTTGCAAAAACCCGTTACTTCTTTAGCGTATAATTTTTATTTTACAACTTAGTCCAAAAGAAAGACTTCATATTAATAAAATTTTGCCCAGTTCAAAAGTCAAATTATTATAATGAAAATAGAGTGAAATTACATATAAATAGTGATTCCATCTATCGCTCGAAATCAGTGAAGGTAACTGTAAAATTACAAGTCACTGGAAAATATTCATTCACATAACCTGTAATGTTAAACGTCAACATTATCTACCTATGATAAAATGTCGCAAACTCAAAAATTACAACACGGTAGCAAACCCTGAGCTTGACTATAATATAAGCGCTGTTAGATAATGTACTATTTTTGGTTGTTAAAATGGCGAATGCGCCGGGATTAAATTTGTGTGTATTGGTTTTGTTGATATTTAAAATAATTGTTGATATCTAAATAAATTATGCAATGTACAAATACAAGCCGCAGGCAAGTTATTAAAACCTCATAAAAGTGGCTAAAAATATTTTTTCCAATACCAGTAATAATTTAGACAAATTATTTTTTTCTAATTTTTTTAAATTAATTATAGCAATAACGGTTTTCGTTGTCTTGTCAATAAAGATTTAGGTAGTATTTTGTGCTAATAAAAAGTTAAATTTTGTTAATAATAAACATACAGGGTGCGGCGTTCGCCTGTTTTTTTTTCAGGTAATTTGTTGAAATGTTAAAGATAAAGAATATTTTAAACAATGTTTTAAAATTCGAAAAAGTCCACTTCCATAATGCAAACTTAATAACAAAAAAGTTATAGGCCATTTTTGATTGACGCGCATTTTTCAAATTTTAACGAAAAAAATTAATAACTCGAAAACTATTCAATTTAGATATAGTACATGGTATAGTTATTTTACTCAAAATTTTATATAGAATTTAAAAATGTAAAAATATATGGGGTGTTCTATTTAAAATAACAGTTGATGTCACTTCCGGTTAAACCGGTAGTGGCATTTTGTTCAACTTCTAATGGAGCACGAATGTAAAACATCCTGTATATAATATAATAATAATAATAATAATATATATCAACTCTAACATAGTCCGCTTTGTAATCGCAATTTTTCATATGAAAATAACATTCAATTTTAATAAAACTTTATCCAAATTTGGTATAAAAATGTGAGTAGGAAATTACCTGTAAAAGTTAGAGTAAAAACGAGATTACTTTTAAGGGGTTTGAAGACAAGCAGATCATTTTATCAGGAGTTTTCTAATACATCAAAATAAAAATCCCTCTTTGTAACTCAATCCGTGTAAATACTATACAGTTCGCGTACGTTCTCATAAGGAAAACTTTTTTATTATTAATTTTACCAAAAAAAGTTACTCTTTATAAAAATTTCTGTTTTCTAAATAAATAATATTAGACTTTAAAAACTTAAAATAGCATGTGGTAAGGTTAGTTGTCCATAAAGGAAGTTTTAGATTTTTAAATCAACGGAATGATGTCGTTCGAAATTCCGTTATTGTTTAAAAAAGTAATTTTTTTGACAAAAATTAAAATACATGAAAGCATCGGTAAAATTGATAAAATAGATACATCATTGTTTTTTTTAATGGAATTTTTTAATATTTTTTCGCTGTGGCTCCCGTCCCGAGGCGGGACTTAAGTTCAGTCCCGATTGACGTCATAATTTTAAGATTTGTTATGTTATAATAAAATATTAATAATAATAAATTGTACCTGTATACATGTTAAGGGCACTTTAGTTACGTCATAAAACCAAACCAACCCAAACTCAACAACACAACCCAACCGACCCCGCCCCATTGAGCAAAAAACCCAACTAAAATGGGCAAATTTATGTTACGATAAAAATAAAACACTTTTTAACAAAGAAACAACAAATTTATAAAATAAAAAAAATAAAAAAAGTTTGACAACTTCTAGTGGGATCGAACCCGGTACCTCTCGCATGCCAAGCGACCGCCCTACCATCTAAGCCATCGAGCTTGACACAAATTATAAAATCTCGGGGAATAAAAACGGATTTACAGTGTGTGAAGTCAATCGGGACTGAACTTAAGTCCCGCCTCGGGACGGGAGCCACAGCGATATTTTTTTTATTTTAATGTCAAAAATAAATAATTTTTTTATGTTTGAATTAAAGATTTTATTTATTAATAACATTTTTAAATTTAACGCCAAATGATATATTTTAGCAATTGAAACAAAAACGAATTATTCAAAAGTGTATATAATGTATATAATTATTATTGAAACAAAAACCTGGCTTATTTTAATGTAAAAATGAAAGTTGCTTAATAATTGTTTCAAGTAATGTATTTTAGGGTAAAAGTTCTTTCCAACTATGATTCGCGCGTTAAATTTAGCATAGTTTTCGGGTGAGTTTTTAACAAAACAATTAACAGTAATTTATACAAACTATTCATTTTTGAAACCAGAAGAAAAACTCTATTTAAACATTTAAAAATATATACATAGTGTTTCATTAAAAAAACATGTCAAAGGTATTTAATTTATTAATGCTTTTTTATTAAAAAATTACTTTTTTAAACCATTGAAATCTCTTTTAATAAAGATTTTATAGGAGTGTCCCATTTATTATTATAACTTCTATTTATTTGTTATTTTTTAAAAATTTACCACCTTATATATAAATTGTAATTTCATTTTAAAGTATCATAACGATTTTTTTAAAGAGGTATTCTAAAAGCTGTGGAATTTCATAAATCAAACTTTACCCACAAATTCAACTAAGTTAAATAGCAGAGCAGCTGCACGAGGGTTACTTACAGGGTTGCCAACTCTTGAGATGCACATTATAGTATTTTCTCAATTTAATTATAGGATTTTTTAGAAAAATTGTAGTACAGATGACGTATAGGTTTTTGAGAAGCAGCAGCCCACATTTTTTCTCCTTTTTTACTATATTATATAATATATATTATCTATATTCACAAAACGTTTGTTGTGACAATAACTGATAAGTTTACAAACTTTGTATGCAATTGAAAATGTATTCTGTAGGTACATACCCTTTATCATAAAATGTACACACTGTATTTACACGTATAACCTATACAAATCTTTTTCTTTGATAAAAATAACAGTTAAATAAGAGAATAAATGCACGCGCCGCGCTAATGCGCACCACGGTATTTCATGTGGCTAGTTTTGCTTTTGCATAAAAGAGGGCGCGAAAATACAAATTGGGCAGTTTTCTTTTTTAAAAATTATAGATTTTTTTAAGAAGTGGGTATTTTACTAACAATACTATTATTCAAAATTATAGTATTTTAACGTACTATAATACTTTGCTTTAGTACATAGTACACCGACATAAAATTATAGTAGAAATACTATAATTCTAGTACGGTTGGCAACCCTGGTTACTTAATTGTGTATGTACGTTATCAGAAAACTACGTCAAAATTATAAAACTTACTGCATATCCATGTCGTTAGCGTACCCTCTCGGTGGCTGAGCATCATCGTATTCAGGCATGCTGTATGTTGTTCGTCTCATAATTAAAAGTTTCGGCATATAATTCAGGAATATTTTACGGAACAGCGGGGACATTTTGTGCGTGGAGGGCGATCTGAAATTAAATCATTCACACCACATTTATTATTACATGTTTTACATACATAATATAATGTTTCAATGAGTTAATTTGAATAATTTTGTAGTTTAATTTATTTTGTACAATACAGACAGAGATGGGGTAAAAAAAACTGTATTATTGATCCCATAAAAAGATAATTAAAAAAATACATCGTGTTAAGATGAAAATGATTTCTTAAGGCCCAGTTGTATAAAAGTCTGTTTAACAACAGATTAATAATTTACGGATTAATCAATAATAGCTGGTTAAAGAAAATTTTGTTGTGCAACACTCGGTTATGTTTTAATTAGTTAATTTTCAAATTTAGGGAAATTCACTAAAAAAATCCCAAAATTTTCGTATTGGTCATGTTATAATTTTTGTAATTGTCAAATTGACCATGTCCTAAAATTCATAATAATAATTTTTGTTGTTTAGGAAGATTTTAGTAAGTATATTGGTATTTATTTATTTATTGCATACATTAATGTGCAATTATAAGTAGCTTTAATTATATTTCTTCTTGCTGGTGTGTTTTGTGTTATTGGTTAAAGGTTTTAATATTTTGTACAAATTATACCAAAAAATGGCTTTTTGGTCAAAAATGAAAGATTGTAGTAAAAGGGTCGCTAACTTTAGTGGAAAAGAAGCTTGGCTATTGCTTTGAATAGGTAGTTAAAAAATATAAAAACATTGTAGAATGCAAAATGAACTCGTAAAGTTAATTCAATCATTTGCCTAAAAGAAAGCGCTTATTTTGTATTAGTTTTTAAAGAAATTATGGCTAATATTTCTTTATTTCAAAAATATAATAATATTTTTTATATATTATATATATTAATATATTCTTTTATGTTTAAATCTGTAAAATATTCAGGTCTAGCACAAAAGTTTCTGTTTTCTACGAAAAAAAACAATTTCTACTAATTATAAAAAATCTTCATCCGTTAAATGTTCTACCATTTTAATGCTAACCACAGATAAATACTAACAAAAAAAAATAAAATTTTTTAAAAGTTGACCTTTATAAGGTTATGTGTGTTCTAACCCGGAGTTAACCACAGAAAATTCACCGATATGTTAATTGTATGTTGATCACTTAATTAAATTTTAACCAATGTTTATACAACTTGAAAGTTAGCTTAATCATTACATAATTATTATCAAGAGTTTACCAACTGTTATACAACTGGGCCTAAGTAATTCAAATAAAATTTAATCCCATAAATTATATCTTATATTTTAAGTGTAATTTGAAATTTTTGTCTAAAATAATAAATAACACTGTGCAACAATTTAAGGCCCATTAAAATACGATCTAATTGGGTCGATAGTATTGGAGAACAAATATTTGTTTATAAGTTCCTGTTACTGTTTTTATTTATTTAAGTTATATGTAAAATAAACAATTCAATGATACAAGTAATAATATTACATTAGATGCACAACTCTGTATTTGCAGGATAAGTGATTTTAAGAAAAACATGAGAACCGCTCATAAGATCATTTTTGAAGAAAAAAATGCAAAAATTGTATAGACGTGCTCTTGCATAATTTTTATTCAAAAAAAGTAAAAAAAAAAATGCTTTAGGTAGGTAGTTTAGTAAATAATTGAAATAAAAAGATTTAAAAACATAGTTTTGCATCTTTCTCGTTCAAAGACCAAGTTTTGCAAGTGAAAAGTGCAAATACCAAAAAATAACAATAAATCAGGTGATTGTTATATCGCCACGTAATGCGTATACTAGCGACGTGATTGGTCAACAGCAAATACCGAGTTTTGCATCCGACAGGAAGAATCAAATACCCATGGGTATTTGCAGTTTTGCATCTGCGTTTAGTTTTTATAAAATACATTTATAAATGTATTTTATTCTACAAATATTAACTTATGCATCTGGTTTCTTAAGTATGCTGTAGGCAGTGCAGTAATATACATAAATAGGATAAAATATATGTTTTTTTTAAATTTGCACAAACCGAGTTTTGCATCTAAAGTACTATATATATTATATTTAATATTTAAAATCCTGATCTTAATCTAGAGCTTCAACAAAATTTGTAAAATCGTCATTCATTTATAATCTTTCAAGTGTTGATCGGTATAATTTTTAGTCAATTAGTATGAATAAAACATGATTATGGATATAATAAAAGTCCTTTCTTTTTGAATAATGGACTAATACCTTACAAAACCAACTAACAACCTGCAAATTACATATATTATTCATATAGGTATGTAGGTATGTTTGTTATTTATTCAAATTTAATGGAGTCGAGCGTGACTATATCTAGAATTGCGGTTGTAAATCATGACAATGCCGGGAATTGCGTGTTATAGCTTTATTATCTCGTACGTCTTTTACAAACTCGAATTTTCCAAAATAACTATGAATATAATCACGATTTAATATTGAATTGGGTATTATTAGTTTTCTCTATAGGAACTAAAAAATATTTTGTTTTTTATTAAATTGGCTTCGTTTTTAAATATTTGACAATATTAAATTATACTATAATCTTCGAGAAATATATATATCTATATATATATATATATATATATATACTAAAATAATAATAGTATATATATATACTAAAATAATAATAGTATTTATTTAGCACCTGCAAGAAATATGCACCTTCGTGGCAGGACCGTACCGAGGCACACTTTTGGTGGAGACGATAAAAAAAACAACTTATTTTTTTATCGATCCTTTAGTAGTACTCAGTGGCGTAACAAATTCTGAGTGGGCCCCCCCGCAAACGATTTTACTTTACAATAATTAAAAAGTTTATTTAATAGGCAATTTTTAAAATAGTTTATCATAGTACTTTTAAACCTACATTAAATACATAATATTTTTTAAATTAAAATTTTTGACAGGTAGGTATAGAGTCACTCTATTAGAGTGTATACGATACACAGACATACGATAAGCAAATAAAAAAGGATTAGGTAAGAAAAATTGCTATATCTGCAATTTTTGGTAGTAAAACATAAAATATTTAATTAATTTTGGTTTAAAAATATCTTATTCTATATACCTTTTTATATGCAGGATCATTTTCGTAATTCTATAATATATAATATCTTATTAAGATTCTTTTAAAAAAATATTTAAATAATAATTACCTAAACATTTTCTGTTCTTATTTCCAAATTTTGCCTTTCTTAGAACGGCAGTATTATACTATTACATCAGCAATAATAACAATTTAAAAATAATAATAATTTAAAAAATGTATACCTACATATCTTACCAAGTTTAAACAGTCTTAAAAAAAAATTAAAAACATATTGTAGACAGTCTTAAAGAAGTTAAATTAAAAAAAAATTAAAAACAAACACAAAATGCGATTGTCTAAGTATTTATAGATTTACTGCAAAAAACGGTCTGATCTTCTAAAGTTTTTTTTGCAAATTCAGTTATAATATTGTCAATGTTTAATGTCTTAATAAACTCATGTTCAATACTAATAATTGATAAATTACAAAGACGTTGTTTTCCCATAGTGTTACGAAGATATGTTTTCACTATTTTTAGTTTCGAAAAAGAACGCCTTGGGCCCCCTGACCGTCTGGGCCCCCCCGCGGTGCGGGGTCTGCGGGGGTGCTTATTACGCCACTGGTAGTACTTAATAGTAAAAATTTTCAGTAGTTTTATCATGAATGTAAAGTGTTTAAAGTGTAGATAAAGAATGTCTTTACCTACCATTAGCATGCTCTCTCAAAGTCGATGGGATTGATTCTCGTTCTCTATTTTTTTTTTATTTGCTGCCAATGTTAGTGGATTATCCGGAACAGTAACAATTTTAATTTTAACTAAATTTCCACCGTGAATATTTTCCTCGTGCATTTTTTTCTAGTCCTTGTTAAACACAGATCCACATAATGAGCATTTTACTAGAACTCGGCCCGGTCTAGCTTTCTTTTCCATATTAAAAAAAATTAATTCCTATTTATAATAAATAGGAATTAATTTTTTTTAATATGGAAAAGAAAGCTAGACCGGGCCGAGTTCTAGTAAAATGCTCATTATGTGGATCTGTGTTTAACAAGGACTAGAAAAAAATGCACGAGGAAAATATTCACGGTGGAAATTTAGTTAAAATTAAAATTGTTACTGTTCCGGATAATCCACTAACATTGGCAGCAAATAAAAAAAAAATAGTCAATAAATAATTTATTGACCCTAGTTTTACTTATCGTAGATAAGCTTCAACTAATTAATAATCTAGAAAAATAAGACGCCGAAAATTGCGGCGCGAAAAAAGAGTCAAACGCCGCCAAAACCAAAGACAAAGCCGCGAGGCGGTGCCGACTTTGTACATGCCGCTTGTGTGAAATATAATGTCCTTAATATAATAATAAAAATAAGGTTGACCAATACAATTTTCTTGACGGTAACGATTATAGGAGGTTACAATAGATAAAAAATTATAATTTTGTAATAAAGTTAGTAAAGTTTAAAAATTATATTTCATTTTATTTATTGTGATGGGTTGGTTGGTAGGGTAGGTATACCCAACCAACCGACCCAAATACTATAGTTTTTGCCAACCGTGTTTGGATTTGGAACCAACTGCCAAGACTTGGGGGGGGGTGACTCCCCCCCTAAACCCCCCTTAGGCCCGGCCCTGCTTCGTGGCCCTTTTGAGGGTGTGAAATATTAAAATTAAATTTGGAAAAAGTACCATTAAATTTGTATGAGAAATGTCAAATATTAGATGAAATATCTAATAAAATTGGCTTTAAGTAGTACTCATCTCCATTTGAAGAGTTTTCATACAACGTCTTCAAAATTTAATATATGATTTTGTGAGGCATCAGGCAGATTTCCAAATAATTTCAGTGTTTTTACAGCACAGAATTCAAATAATTAATTTTTAAAGTAACATTTATTTTTATACGCCACAGTGTACGAGGTGTGTTCAGAAAATAACAGGAATTTTTAAATTTCGCGGGTTTGAACAGTCCGGTTGTCATAAAATTGTCTTTATTTCGTTGGTATACATACCCCTGAAGAATGATACATATTTTAGATGTTTTCATTGTTTACTTTGTCTGTGGCAGCCTCTAAGGTTAGACGTGTTTTTATGAGCTCGGCGATTTTCGTTCGTTAAAAGAAATGGATCAAAGAATTTGTATCAAATTTTGCGTAAAAAAATAAAATAAAGTGTGTGAAATGTTAAAAAAGGCCTATGGTGAGTCTGCTATGATTAAAACAAGAGTTTATAAATGATATAAGAGTTTCCAAGATGGCAGTAAAGACGTTGAAGATGACGAACGCCCAAGCACATTAACAACCGATAAAAACATGGAAAAAGTGAAAGAAATGCTTATGAACCACATTCAAAGAAGTCGCTGATGATGTTGGCATATCGATTGGCTTATACCATGAAATTTTTTTTGATTGTTTTGGGTATAAGACGCGTGGCAGCAAAATTTGTTCCTAAATTGTTGAATTTTAAACACAATTTTAAAAACAATACTGTAATGATGACCCGCCTATATATTCGCCAGACATGGCTCCGTATGACATTTTCCTATTCCCCAAAATAAAGAGAACCTTAAAGGGCCGTCATTTTGCAAGCATAAATGACATTAAAAGGGCATCGCTAAAAGAACTAAAGACTATCCCAAAAATTGTGTTTGAGAAGAGTTTAGAGGATTAGAAGAAACGCTGGCACAGTTGCATAATATCTAATGGGGACTATTATGAAGGCGACGACTTTAATGTAGACGAATGTTTTTCAAAAAACGAAAATTCCCGTTATTTTCTGAACACACCTCGTATTTTGTACCTCACAGCTCGCTCATGAGATTTCCATAAAAAATTTACTATAATAATCAATTTCTCGTTTTAGAAAACTAATTTTTGAAATAATCTATGAAATATCTGGAAAAAAACACTTTCATAGAAATGTTATATTTAATATTATATTCTTACAAAAATTCGTTTCTAAACTCGAGCAACGCAAGAGGACCATGTAAATTTCAAAAAACAATTTTTTAGCACTTTTTCAAATTGTCATTTTAAATTTTGTGCTGCCAACTTAAGAAACACAAAACTATAAAAGTTTTAAACCTTAATTTTGTCATTATAACAGAAAATTATCTAGACTGACGTCACACACTGTAAATTCGTTTTTATTCCCGTTAAAAAATTAATGTTAAGCCTTATGTCTCAGATGGTAGAGCGGTCGATTGGCATGCGAGAGGTACTGGGTTCGAAACTACTAGAAGTTTTCGAACTTTTTTTATTTTATAAATTTGTTATTCGTATTTTGTACCTCACAGCTCGCTCATGAGATTTCCATAAAAAATTTACTATAATAATCAATTTCTCGTTTTAGAAAACTAATTTTTGAAATAATCTATGAAATATCTGGAAAAAAACACTTTCATAGAAATGTTATATTTAATATTATATTCTTACAAAAATTCGTTTCTAAACTCGAGCAACGCAAGAGGACCATGTAAATTTCAAAAAACAATTTTTTAGCACTTTTTCAAATTGTCATTTTAAATTTTGTGCTGCCAACTTAAGAAACACAAAACTATAAAAGTTTTAAACCTTAATTTTGTCATTATAACAGAAAATTATCTAGACTGACGTCACACACTGTAAATTCGTTTTTATTCCCGTTAAAAAATTAATGTTAAGCCTTATGTCTCAGATGGTAGAGCGGTCGATTGGCATGCGAGAGGTACTGGGTTCGAAACTACTAGAAGTTTTCGAACTTTTTTTATTTTATAAATTTGTTATTCGTTGGTTGGTTTGTTTTAGTTTCATCGTAACATAACAAATCTTAAAATTATGACGTCACTCGGGACCGCCTCGGGACGGGAGCCCCAGCGAATAAATTAACAATTTATATTTGTTACTTATTTTACTTTTAATGCTGTTTAAGTTTTTGATAATACTTTAATTTATAATAAAGTAATTAAAATACATTTTATTTTTACCACATTGGCACCGCTGAATTTGCTGTCAGAGCCTACTGAATGTTATTTATTCATCAAGCTCTTTAAATGGAGATACTTCCTTAAATTCCTTGCTCCATTATTGAGGAGCATCCGTGCAAAACCGGCTATATCAATTTTAATAAAAGATTGAAAAAATAGCTCCCTGTTTCCTGGCTTTTACAGTTGAACAAAATTGCATCTTGAGTTTTGTGAACACAAAACTCAAGATGCATTTTTTTAAGCTGTTTAGGCCAGGAAACGGGGATTTTTTTTGCCATTTACCCAACATTTTATTAAAATGGATATAGCCGGTTTTGCACGGATGCTCCTCAATTATTATAAAATAAATATTTATTGTAGTACCTATAGTATAGTATTTATGTATAAAATTTGGTAAACGCCATTTTAGATACGAATTTAAATTAATGATTGCATAGAAAAGTTTATAAATGAGTTGCATACTATACTTATTATCTTAAAATGATTTTAATTAAATATTTGTATAGAGCTACATCTATAAAACAATAGGGGTATTTGTGTTACCGATAAATTTCAAATTTTTATGTATGCTTTAAAAATGGATTAACAACAGTTTTTCACAGTGAAAGTAATGAAAATGTTATATGAGCACTTCACGGTGGAGTCCGAGCCTAAATTTAAGCTATATCTAGTTTACTGCTGGCGAAATTAAAAGGTAAATGTTCATATAAACTTCTTAAATATTGGCCTTAAGAAACTAATACTACAAATACTTTTGTATTTTTGTATTGAGATAATAAAATATTTTTTACATTTAGTATAATTTTACAAGAAGGGCACTTTATTTTAACGATTGTATGACATTTGACAACGGTCAACTAACTTTAACCCGTCACTTAAAACTTGTTGCTAACTTCAGCCCGTGACTAAAACGCCAAATAGCACAACTTGTCAAGGTGTATTTAAAAGTTCACTTAGTGTCATGGAAACATGTACGATAATGGGCGTTTTAAAGGTGGGAATAGAAAAAAATAATTTAAATCGTTTGAAAATTAAGAAAAAGTAGGTGCAAATTTTAAATTTTTAAATGGATGTTATTAACTTTATAAAATGTAAATGGATATGTTTGGAATTTTTATTTTTGAATATATTCAAAGTATATATATTATATATATATACTATATAATATATACTATATATATATACTATATAATATATACTATATATAATATATACTATATATAATATATATAATATATACTTAATTCGTAACAAAATACCATATACCATTTATATTATAACACCGAGAAAATTTATCAATTTTCAAAGGCATTTTTAAGAAAAAAATCATAGCAAAAATCGTTTTTTTAACGGTATGTTTCTTTGTAGTGACTAATTTCTATATACCGGGTGTATCTGAGAATAGGCGCACCCTTGTAACTTTTTTATTTATAAAGATAGACACATGAAATTTAGCATGGTTTATTAGGATTTAAAATGCTACTTATAAGTGTACAAAATTAGTTTTTTGAACTTCCGGTTTCGCCGGATATGATATCAACTTTCGATTTTTAAAAAATGAAACACCCTATATATTTTTACAAATTTAGAATCCTGAGAAAATTCTGAGTCGGACAGCATCCTCAAATTGACCTTTCGACGTTTCGTCATCAGAAAATGCTTCATCATAAAGATCAATCTAGAGTGCTTTGAACTATTTAAGAAAAACGAATTTTGACAAGCTTAGACTGCTAGGAATAGCTTTTTTCAGGCATTGTGTAAGTCCATTAGAAGAAAATAAAATAGTTTGTTTTTACACTTTTATGTATATCTCTTGCGGTAGTTGAATAAAATATTGTGTGCGACATTCCACTAGCGTGTTATTGCGTTGTACCTCCTAATAAAAAAATCCGCCATGCGTTAAACAAACAAAAAATTAAAGTTAACCTATTTTGTTTAAATTTGAGTAAGCATTGAGCCCATTTTTTGGAATTCGAAGCCAAGGGGCTAAAAATCGCGCATTATGTTTAAGTTATCTTAGATACCGTATCTACCACCCAAATAAAGAAAAAAATTGGTACTTTTAAAAAATTATTTATTTAAAAATAAAAATGGAGTTATAAAATTAAAAATTGTTCTTGGCAAATTTTAATTTAATTTTTACCAAATTTTATGAATTGGTGGTTAAAACTTTTAACTTAAAAGAATTTTGGTTTTTTTGTAGGTAATGAAATTTTTTATTTTTTTTTCATACAATTCATGTTTAAATAGATTTATTAAATAACCTGTTCTCCATTAATTAAAAATTAAACCCCTAGAAGTGTGCTATTTTTGGGACACCCTGGATAATAATTTTACAAAACCTAAACCCATAACCACATACTAACCTGAAGTATATATTTAACACGCATACCGTGACCCATATGGAGGAAGTGACTAATATCATAGTGAACAGCAAGTATTTGCCTAACAAAGGCACAGCCAACGAGGTCGGGGGAATGATCTCGGCGAGCAGCAGGAAGAACACGGTGAGGGAGAGCAGGATAGACACGCACAGTGTCACCTTCTCGCCTGAATCAGACGGCAGGTAGAAAACCAGCACCGTAAGAAAGGTGATCCCGACGCACGGAATGATCAGGTTCACAGTGTAGAAGAGCGTTTTTCGACGCATTGTTATTTTGAAGGTTATGTCTAAAACAATAAAAAATGCATTTTTTTTAAAACAGAATTTTAATACCATTAGCAGTTTTAAGCAGAGGCGGCTGGTGGATTTTGGGTATATCAATATTTCAGTTATTAGACATGGGACCCACACCAAATTTATAATAGTTTATAATGACATTAAATAGACAAGTTCGGCGCAAACATAATTTAAATTGAAGTTTGCGAAAAAAAGTTAGATTTTCCTGTCGCCTCACCCGCCTCCAGGCCCTTCTATTTAAGATAATTCAAATTAAAGTGGTGCAATTTATTATCTACCATAATTTATCGAAAAATTTAAAATTTTATTTAAAAAATCCAAATATTACAGGTTTTATACCATTTTAAATATTTTTCTTGATTTTTATGTAAGAATGTCATATTCTCGCACGCAAAATAGTTGAAGAATGAAGCTCATTCTTAAACGATTTTTGGTAAAATTTAGTTTTTAAGTATTGGTACCCCCAAAATGTCAAACTGTTTAATAACCTCAAATTCATTACTTTTAGGATTATTTATAATAGCTTTGTTTGTTATCCTGCACTAGTGCAACCTGAACTACACTTTTATTGAAAATGAAGCCTTTATTATTGTTTTGTAATATTAAGTTTGCTCCAACAATGCATTTTAATGCAAAATTTTAAGTTTAATGTGAAAAAGTGCAGTTCAGGTTGTACTTGTGCAGGATAACAAATATTGTCATTTTGTGTTGCCAACTGACATTTTGCGAGAAAAATCCCCCAACTAAAAACGACCACAAAACAATTAAAAAAACCTAAATAAAAGTTAAAATCGAGAAAATAGTATAAATCACACGTTGCAGAAGGCTATTCTCGCACTCATTCGTTCGTCCACTCGCTCCTTCGTCGCTCGAAACCAAATTTCGAATTCGTGCAAGAATATGTGGCCTTCTGCAACTTGTACTTTAATATACGATTTTATTTGAATAAAATAAATAATAAAAATTTAAAATCGAATAAAATCTGTAATATTTGGATTTTTTAAATAAAATTTTAAATTTGTCGATAAATTATAGTAGATAATAAATTGCACCACTTTAATTTGAATTATCTCAAATAGGGGGGCCTGGAAGCGGGTGAGGCGACAGGAAAAATTAACTTTTTTTCGCAAACTTCAATTTAAATTCTGTTTGTACAGAACTTGTTTATTTAATGTCATTATAAACTATTATAAATTTGGTGTGGGTCCCATGTCTAATAACTGAAATATTGGTATACATAAAATCCACCAGCCGCCACTGGTTTTAAGGAATAAAAATAAAAATAATAATTACACATTTTGCCCACCATGTCTCACTATGATTTTCTTGTGTAAAATCACACTTAAAATTTTTTTCATGGAAGCGTTTTCGAGATATGAATGTTCAATTCTTTTTTTTAAATTTTCTGAGGTGTTCTGACGTTTTAGAGTATACTTCGAGTTCTAATTGATCGATTTGACCAAATAAGCACGTAAATTAAAGGTAATTGAGCCCTCTACAACTTTCTTCTGTATAGTTTTCGTAACGGCTCAGTAGTTCGATACTGGCGATTTTATGAAGTTGAAAAAGTCCTTTTTTTACAAAAATCGAGGTCGAAAATTTACATATCTTTCTGGGAAAGATAGAAATCGAAAAGATATTTCCAGTTTGATTTATTTTACGTATAGATTATACTTAAATGAATAAAATAAGCTGCTGTTTATAAAAATCCATGGATAAATGGCGAAGTTATGAATTTTTCAGTGGAAGACCAAAATTCAGTTTTTCGAGAATTTTTACGTTTTTTCTTAATTTTATTGAATTAGGTATATAAAAATTAATATTGAACATTGAATTTTATTTTAAACATTTAATATTGAAATTAAATTATATTTTGAATATTAAACAATAAATATTGAACATTGAAGAAATTGAAAGTATTATTATGTTGTAATAAGCATAGGTTTAAAAAAATTCTGGCTCCTTTGTTTTTTATTGCTTTCGTATTCCATTTCTCTTATGAGGGACCAAATGTAATCACCCATCATGTCTGCATCCCTAGTATAGCCTTCATTTGCTGGTGAAAACGTTCTCCGTGCTCATCACTTACGTCCCTCAGATTGTGCGGGTTATTTATTCATTTTACACTTTTTATTAAGTAAAAAACCATGATAAAAATACTTTGTTGATATATCAAAAAATATAAGTAATATATCAAAAAATGTCAGTAAAGTGTTTTAAAAAATTTTTAATAATGTTTTCGGTGAAAAAAGTACATAAAAACTCAAAAAATTTAGTGTTATTTTTGTGTTTAGTGGGTCAATACATGGAAAAATTACAATGAGATATGGTGGGCAGCATTTTTTTAGATTTTGTAAACTAGTGTTATTCATGCTATCAGCCAAATGGAATAAATTCATAATACATACATGGAGGCGTGTTCCAAAAAAGCTCGGACACGTCGATTAGTATTTTTAGTTGCGCGTTTTTTTTAACAAAAACAAAATCACAAAAAAGAGGTACACAATAATAAAACGTGCTTTGAGGAATCCACAAAAATGTATTTTGAAGGGCCTCAAGGTTAATAAATCATTATAATGATTAATAAATCATTATAATAATTATTAATAAATAATAATTAATATGCCAATAAATATGAAATAATTAAAAAAATTAAATTTAAAGCTTTTATTGTATATTGTATAAACAGTGTGTCTCAGCCAGTGCCGGTTTAACAGGGGTTTTTTGGGGACCATAGCACCGGGCGGTAAATATTTTTGGGGCGGTACCGCGTACCGCCCATAATTTAAAAAAAATACTTAATCGTTAGAATTTAGAAAAAAAATTATTGCGACACTGCGTCGGCGGATACAACGGATACAAATGAGAAAAATGTTGTTAGAGTTAAAGCAGCTTCTTCATCAGAAAAACTTGATTTATTGGAAACGGAAAAATTTGAACTTTTTGGATAGACGTTTTGCAAAGGGTTAATGAAACCAATAAAGCAGTCCAAAAACAAAATATGGATTTAATCACAAATGCTCATCTTTTGTCATTTTTAGTTGAGAACTTTGATTTTTTACGTGATATCATTTTGATCATTACGAAGAAATTAACAGGAAACGAAAATTATGCTCAGAAGCGGATAATCATAAGAAAATTACAATTTGAAGAAAATAATTCAGAGGCAAGTTTAAGCAAAAAAGAAACAATGCGAACAATATGTTTTATTTTAATAATTGACAATCTATAATCCGAAATCATTTGTCGATATGATAGCTAGAAATCTGGCACAAACAAATTTGAATTTTTGTTTAATCTATAAGCATAAATCTTCGTGGAGGATTTGGATGAGTTTTTTCCTCAAAAATGTGTCCAACTCAAGAAACTGGTAACTTCCCTTTCGGAAATAAAAATAGAAACTCCATTGGAATTAGTATAAGTTTTATACGAAAATAAATTAATATCTTCATTTCCGAATATTAATAATTGTCTGCGATTTTTTTTTATAATGGTTTCAAATGCAAGTGGTGAACGATCATTTTCTGCTCTAAAAAGGGTAAAGAACTACCTAAGAAATACAATTCCCCAAGAAAGATTGCTGCTAGATGAAATAAATGTAAAGTGTTATAAAACAATTTGCTACTATAAAGACCCTTTTAATTATTAGAATTAGGATTTCTCAATATTGATTTAAACCAAAGAATAATGTTTTATTTATTTATAACTTTTAATTAGTTATTCTTAGTACTTAGTATTGTTTATATAAACCAAAGAATGTTTTATTTTTTAGTTAGTGCTTTTGATTAGTTTTTATAATTTGTTTATAAAGGCTCATTTTATATTTTATAGAATACTAAGTTTACTGTTAGATACCAGCCTAACCAACCTAATCTTCCACTTGACGTGAGAAAATAAGACTTAAAAATTTAAAAATATTTTTAAAAAAGTAATATTTTAAAGCATTGGGCGTTGTGTTTTTGCCAGAACCGGGCGGCGAACTAACTTAAACCGGCACTGGTCTCAGCCCAATGGAATAAAATTCTATAATACATAATACGCTCGTATAAACAAGTGTTTTTTTCGTAAGTAATATCATAAGGGTATCTAATTTTTCCGAAAAAAAATCGAAAAAACACGTTGCTAAGTAATATTTTAACAAGAAGCATGAGTGCTGGTGGCAACAAAAATCCGAGTCAAAAACGAGGATTTTTGCACCTGCACGAATGCATTTTGTTAAAAAATATTACTTAGCATTTTGTTTTTTTCGATTTTTTTTCACAGGAAAAATTAGATGCCCGAATGGTATTTGACAAGACTATTTCATGAGTAACAGTTAACAATTAAAATATAAATTGCAATTTTTGGTGACAACAGCTGCCAAGTTTTTTCATCTAGAAACCATTTGTAATTCAAAATTGCGCGTTTGTGATTGGTGGAAATTAAGACGAGGGAAATAGTCGTAAGTAATATCATAAGGGCATTTAATTTTTCCGTAAAAAATCGAAAAAACACGTTGCTAAGTAATATTTTAACAAAAAGCATGAGTGCTGGTGGCAACAAAAATCCGAGTCGAAGACGAGGATTTTTGCACCTGCGCGAATGCATTTTGTTAAAAAATATTAGCATTGTGTTTTTTTCGATTTTTTTTACAGGAAAAATTAGATGCCCGAATGGTATTTGACAAGACTATTTCATGCATATATCAATAATGTTGTAACCTTTTTTGTACCTGCACGAATGCATTTTGTTAAAAAATATTACTTAGCATTGTATTTTTTCGATTTTTTTTTACAGGAAAAATTAGATGCCCGAATGGTATTTTACAAGACTATTTCATGAGTAACAGTTATTCTGTATACACATAGCTTACAAAACATCCTACCTATTATACATGCGTACATAATAAATATGTGGATATTAATTTGAAAACTGAAAAATACGTAATTTATTTAATCACAAAATACTAAACATTAATTATTAATGGTACAATTAAAATATAAATTGCAAT